AGACAGACACGAAGGCAGAGAAAGGTAGGATGAGTACTGCGAAAGTGGTTGAATATGGCATACAGTTGGGCCATTGTAGTTTTAAGCCAGAAGTCAATCGCAAGTCAATAGACTTTTTTGCTGTATGATTATACGTTGCCCAGGGTGCACAACGTGAAGGCAAGTCTATCACTGCCCCTAATTAAATCAAAATTCATTATAACGAAATAAATAAATTGTTATGTTATTATATGGCTTTAATGGAAAATTCCCATGTCTAAATCACAGTCAAACTATTTTTCAAAACCATCAACTGGAAGACAAAACTTTGAACCCAGTCTTATAATCATCCTTCGACAGGTGTTATCTCAGCATTTCGAAATCAAGTGATTAAGGGCCCAGGTTGTTGGCTTTTTCCTTTGAATACGTTTCAACGCGATTCCAGATAAGTTGGTATCGTTTCACGCGAGAATCCAGAGAAAGAATTCTTTGTTTTCTAATGTTCACTCACCCATTCACTTAAAAGGAACAATTTGAGCGAAAAATATTTTGAATGGATAATGCACTAAGAAAGGTCGATACATTTGCCTAAAATGGAAAGCCCTTTTAAAGCAAGTAACAAGGAGATGAGAAATGAATGGCAGTGCTGATTGAATGAAATGCTAAAAGGTCATGAAGTAAAAAAAACCAACAGTTTAGATCTTAAAAGACTGTTCAAAATTGATGAATTAGAATTATGAACAAAAAATTCTTTCTTAATTCCTTAGCCTGTGGTTAGCATTTTTCAAACGTGGCTTTTTCAAGAACGAAGTCAAGTTAGCTCCTGGTGCCTTGCGAATAAATATTTTAAAGAGATTTGTGGGACGCTATATCGCTCTGTGGGTCATCGTATGCTTCCATGTCTGCTCTCCAGGATTGGGAGGTGCGGCCGTACAACTCTGTGTGCAGCGACCGTACAAACAGTGACCAATCATTAACCTCTGTTTAACCTAATCCCATACAAACAGTGACCAATCATTAACCTCTGTTTGTTTAACAGCAAACAGTGACCACTAGCCTCTGTTTGTTTGACCTAATCCGCCATCCTGATCATGATTAACCCCCATCCTGATCATGAGTAGCTCCCTGCGTGTACACTTTATCTGCAATATACGTCCTGAATAAACGTGCTTCATGCTACACGTCTGTTTCCTTAGCTGGTTCTGGGAGTCTAGCTAGATGTTGTAGAATCGTTTAGCTGGTTCTGGGAGTCTAGCTAGATGTAGGAGGATCTCCCATTGAGATTTCTGAGTCAGTCAGGCTTTACTAGCGTAGCCAGAGATTTCTGAGTTAGTCAGGCTTTACTAGAGTAGCAATATTTCTGAGTCAGTCAGGCTTTACTAGCGTAGCAATCCGTGGAGCTATAGCTTAGCTGTTCTGGGAGTCTAGCTAGGTGTTGGAGAATCTGCCATAGAGATTTCGGTCAGGCTTTACTAGCGTAGCAATCCGCTACAATGCAATCCGGTCAGGCTTTACTAAGGTAGCAATCCGTTACAATTCTCAACCGGTCTGGCTTTACTAAGGTAGCAATCCGCTACAAGTCTTTAACCAGGTCAGGCTTTACTTAGGGAGCAATCCGCTACAAGTCTACAAAACAATATACATAACTTATACAGATTAAATCGGCTGATAGGAATGAAGTTCTCAAAACAATATGTTTCTGGTCAAGAGTGAAATGAATTTGAGGGGAAATCAGATTCGTTGGAGGTAAAATATTTGAATTATCGCTGGTCAAATAGTCTGCCATTGTTTGCTGGTTTATTTTAGTATGTTTTGGTGAAAACGACAACAGGGGTGGGTTTTAAGTAACTTCCCACTTATGTCTTACCCCTTTCCTTGATCATATCGGAAACAGAAAATCCTTTTCAGGTTCACCTGTTACTTTTCAGGTGATACTTCTCCATTAGCGTATTATGATGCCTTAAATAGGGTTAGTATGGAGTGTTAGTGGGAGGCTTTACATTTAGTAACTAATTAAGCATTTCGAAATTGGGATCTGGGAAATAGGAAATAAATTCATCGGTATAAAACTGAAATAACTTTGAAATAAATTGCATATACCATGCACTACTAAGTCCTCTATATTAATCATAGATTTCCCATTTATTGATTTTGAAATTAACGATTTCAGCGTAAAAATGCTTGTAGCTGACGCAACGGTGTTCAGTAGACTTTCAAGCTTCGGGAAGTAGAGAGTAGTTCTGTCAATCAAAGCTCATTTATGAATGCGAAAATGATACTTAAGACCAAACACGATATAATGAAGTCAAACGCTATATGATCTACATTACTTAAAACTACTCAACAGTCATTGCCATCCCAGTAATACCATCGAATGATGCTGCTACTATTTCCTCGGAAACTTGTTAATATCTCAAAATAGAACTACTCTGGCCTTTTTAAAATAAGTTTATTCTAAGGTGTATTATTTAAAAGAATAATTATTTCCCTGGTTCGCAAACGAAAATATTCCGGAATGGCATGAATTGATTTTACGCAAGAGCTTCGAAGGACCAAGAATCCGTTTTAGGCACCATAAACAGAATATTTACAGGAAAATAAAAATTCTAATTTTAGAGATTTAACTATAGTTTATGATAGACCCCCATAGTGATCTAGATTTGTTGTCTAATTTATGGCAACTTTTCACTTACGTATTTCACCTTTTACTATTCCGAATCTCTTATACTTTAACCAGAGGCTTGCGATAGACCTACCACCGCGTGGTGCATCCTGGGCAACGTATACTCATACGCAAAAAAGTCTATTAATCGACAGTTGACCTCTGACTTAAAACTACCATGACCCGACTGTATGTAATATTCGATCACTTCCACCTTACTCACCTTAGCCTACTCTCTACCTTTATGTCTGTCTCTTTTACATCTGCAAATCACTCTTCAGTTCCCCCCCCCCTCTCTCATTTTTCTCCCTTTAATGTCCCTCACTTCTGTGAAGTCCGAAGTCAACTAATCGGCTAATAATAACTATCAATAAGCCTGCCATTTGATATAAATAAATAAATACTTTAACCATATAGGATTGGGCTATCTTAAAAAGAATAAAGCTATTATTAAAAGATCTCGTTGTTAAATTGACATTTTGGGTATGCTATTGTGCTAATACTTGGTCGTCCGATATCCATCAGACACAAAATTCAATCGCACATAAATTAAATAAACGGCATTTTATCATTGGTTATTTTTTTGATCCGCTTGTGTTGTGCGCGCGTGAACAAGCGTGTGAGCAAGTCAAGTCTACACTTATCCTTATAAAAATATGAGATGTGAGAGTTTAGCCCATCGGTCAATGGACATCCAACTTATGACCTCTAACTTGACAGACTCACGAATTAAGCACTCTTGAATTCAGTCGTATTAATTTGTGCAACAAAAGCCTTATATCATTGATGGTACAAATCCCCATTCGATTAACCTCGTATATTTACAATTTTAGTTGGAAGAAAAGACGAAATAGGGAACTAGGAGTTGCAAAAAAATCTTCCCGTAAGTGCAGACAAGTTAATAATCCCCTTAACATTTCTGCACTACGGGTGAGGATTTACTGTGAGGAAAGCAAATGTCATCATCCCTCAACAGGTGACTAAGCTCTCTGGAATACGTTTGATGGATGACAATTCGCTTCTCTTCAATTTTTCCACCATCACAGAAGACACTGCACTTTTTGTGAGATTTGTGAAGTAAAGCTGAAAACAATATTTAAATTTTTGGAAAGAACGATTGCATCAAAAAGTGAGACTAGTTTTGAGTCATCGATGAAGCGCGAAGGAAAATCGCTGGGCTATTGTCCTTTCTGGTCCTTACGACTCACTTCATCGCGCTCAAATTTTGCCAATTCTTTTTTTCTTATCCAAAACTAACAAATACGCTTGGCTACCCTCTTCCCTGCCTTCACATTCATGGCCTATGATGATGATGATGATGATGATGAGCACGCAAATTGGTGTGACAGAGGTGCGTAGGAAAATCTGACACGATTTGCATGAACAAAGACGATTTCAGCGTATAGGTTTAAGGAAAACCTCCGAGAGGGGGAGGGAGAGAGAGCTGAGGCTCCCTCCGCTGCATAGGATCAATGCATAAATTCGCACAATGCTGATGCGATACCTTCGGGGCTTTTCCTTCAATTCATTCATAAGGACATGCGAACAGGAGCGACTTTCACTCTACTTTATGAGCAATTGATGCAAGGGCCGGCGTTTTGATAGTTATCATTAGCCCTGAAGCTGACTTCGGGGCTTCACAGAGAGGAGGAGGAGGAACATCAAAGTCACCAAAAGTCGAGTGGTGTAGGGAACAGAAGAGTGATTCACAGATGCAAAAGAGACAGACAGACAGACACAAAGGCATAAAAGGTAAGATGAGTACTGTAGAAGGGGTCGAATATGACAAATAGTCGGGCCATAGTAGTTTGAAGTCAGAAGTCAAATGCCGATCAATGGACTTTTTTGCCGTATGAGTATACGTTGCCCAGGGTGCACCACGTGGAGGTAAGTCTATTGCGCACCCCGCAAGGGCAAATATTGTGGTACATCTTTAGCCTTACGAAAGTTTCCATTAAGTATCGCAAGGAAAACGCTCATCACATAATTTTTGGGGCACATATTCTCTCTTCTATTATACTTGTTGCCCTTCCTTTTGTCAACTTCCACTATGCGTTCATTCAGACACAGAGAGGTAATACTGCATTTAGAGAAATTTGTTAAATTCGGGCAGTATAATTGAATTATATTCAATAAATCAAATATAATCTTCTTTAATAATAAAATTGTACAATAAAGATAAAGACAGAACTAAGTGATAGATGGACACACGCACAAACACACATTAGAATAGAGGACAAACAGACTTACGTACACACAAGCCCCACAAACACGCACACACACACAGAAACAGAGAATTGGGAGTGGATAAAAGGAAGTGAAGATACAAGTTGACAGTGAGTGAGGTCAATATAACCGCCTATGCGAGAACTTTCGATGACTCAGGCGAGTTACCGGCAGTAACTCTACGCGCTTGACTATGGCTGGTCTTGTTATTATTAAGAACAACAGGGCGATGGAAGCCTATTGGGGAGGTTTGACCGTAAACAGAGAAGCTTTGGCTCTCATCGAAATCGGTCTCACCAGCACAGTCGTCTTCTTCGTTGTCTGCGTCGTGCATCTCAGTGGTGGAATTTACTTCCGAATACGTCATGTTATCACCCATGCTAGACCGTTGTTCGAAATTATTGACAGGGTGACCCATTGGACCTGGGGGCGCAAATAAGGGTTCTGGGGTTTGATAGAGGGGAGGTGAGAGATTAAAAACTGGAGGGAAGGCGCGGACTCCACTGCCATGTGAACCGGAACTATTTGAATTCGATTTCATGCCTAAGTGGCCCGCTTGAATCAGCCGACTATCCCGGGCTGAAGGCGGAAAATTCGGAGGCATGGAATTTGCAGAATCGTTGCTTGATGCTGTTCCACTGAAAGTTTACAAAAAAAAGCACACTTAGAAATAGAAGCTGAAATATAAAACAATGGTTCTAAACTGGCAGTTTTTTTTCAGAGGAAAACTAAGATCACGCATAAAATTTTCAACCTTTTGTACAGGAATAACTTTTTCCCACAACACTGTGGTATATTGTAAGCGATTGATTTATTAGAAGTGAGTGATTCTGACAAACATTTAACCAACTTCCCTGCTAATTAGTACTTTCATTATTGTTTCATCATGCGTAATTAGTTTGCATAATTAGAAGATGATCTGAACCTATCAAACCCTTCAATAAGGCTCCGGTTAATCAAATTTACACAAATGGATAAACTGGTGTTAATTTCTGCCAATCCTTCGATATTTTATCTATTTAATCATTATGAAAACTATGAAATATTTTTTTGCCAAGATTAAAGACCAAATATAGTGCTAGAAAAATTAATTTGTAAAATCAGACAGTCCATCGTGAATTCTTACCTAAATCTATAATGTTAAACAGACTTTTAAGTTAACAAAAATTTGGATCTACATAAAAATTGAAGATATTCAGCCTAGCGATGGGAATAGTCATTCTTGTAATTGAAATAGTAATCTCTTTCAACGTACTAAAAGCCATTAAAGATGTTTTACTCACCTGTAATCATTTCTTTCATTGGAATTATTTTTTATTCAAAATACAAAAATGTTGGCAGTGTTATAAAACTAAAGGAATGAGAATAATATAAAATTGATTTTATTGATTTTATTTCTTCCAGTTTCTTTGCTAAGACTAGGCATAACCGTCTAGGTAAAGGGGTGTGCAATAGACTTACCTCCACGTGGTGCACCCTGGGCAACGTATTCTCATACGGCAAAAAGTCTATAAACTGGCAGTCGACTTCTGACTTCAAACTACCACCACCCCACTGTATGTCATTTTCTACCACTTTCACCGCACTCATCTTATCTTTTCTCTACCCTTGTGTCTGTCTGTTTCTTTTGCATCTTTGAAGCACTTTTCTGTTCCCCCCTCCCCCTCTCGACTTTTTTCACTTTGATATTCCTCCTCCCCTCTGTGAAACCTGAATTCAACTAAAGGGCTAATGGTAACTGGCAAAACGCCTGCCATTTGATATAAATAAGTAAAATAAATAAAAACCTTCTAGGTGCAATTCGAGGTGTATAACAACTATTCCCTCTGAAGGGTCAAAACTTGGAGTGGCATTACTTAATATCCCGAAACTGCGGAAATTGGGTGTTCGCCAAAATTGTTTTCGAACTACAAAGTTGTAAAAATAGCAGGAATATACAAAAATTTGCTCTGCAACGCTCATTTAGATACCTTAAATGTAGAGCCCAAAGTGAAATTTATGACTTCAGAATTCGCGCAATATGAGAGTCTAATAAAACAAGACTACGCTTAGAAAGTGCAATTTCAAAAATTATTCCAGGCCATGTTCGAATCTCATCAGTACTATCACCTTTTAATTTATCAAGGTAAGTATATAAGTAAGTAAAAATGCATAAATTTAATTGGGATTTTACCTTAATTATCGCATAAAAACACACTCTATGACGTGCCATATTCGCCAGGTCAATATCGAAAGCCAATTTTTAGTAGACATAAATGCATCTTTTCCGAGAAATATGTAAGTTGGCCAATTACCTCTTACTTGCGATTGACCTTATATCACTTACTTTTATTGTATCCTGCAATTCGGTAGCAGGATGGTAGAATAAAAAAACTTTCAGTTAGTCGAAAATATCCACCACTTATTGCAAAGTTCATGGCAGAATCAAAATAGACCATTCCAATGGAGAAAAGACTTTTCAGCTGAGAAAGAAAGGGTAGAAAGAAGTCGCCGACTACCGACTGGATTTTTTTCTGAAGAATGAGCGCTATTTTGACATAAAATTCTTTGTGAAAGTGACCTTAAGTCGCTTTGTATAAGGCAGGACACATTCACGCAAGAATAAAACTTTAGAATTGAGAAGTGTCATTGAAAGCACTAATTAATTCCATTATGTTTCAATTTACTTACACAACTACCTTCAATTGTAAATAAATAAGTGGTAATAAACTCCAATAACTTATACGAACGACTTCCGTTACAAACAATATTTAAAAAATTATTTATATTTTACAAAAAATTTTTTTCAATTAAGTTGTCATAGAGATTTTGTTGACGTTTAGCAATGCCTAATTGTGTAGTATTTCGCAACAAAGTAAATAGTAGCTTCGCTTACTATTAAATTAAATTAATAAAATTGAATTTGACAATATATTGCGTTGCAGTGAAGCGAACTTTGTCATTCATACAATTTGAAAGCTGCGTAAACAGTTATGTTAGTGAAATTTCATTGTTAACGAGGGTCAGATTAAATCTCTCCCCGAATCAGACTAATAAACAACGACAACAACAAAAATTTAATTTTTGTATTTCATTTAAATAAACAACCCAGCTCAAAACTTTTAATGAAAATATTGAAAAAAAATGACAATTCGGCCAGTGAATCAACTCTTCTACTTAAAATTTTAATAGCAAGTGATGGTGATTCAGCTACATTTTGAACAAAGATTGATAGGTAGGGGTGATGGAGAATTGATAATCGGCACAAAAATTCAAAGACCTATTTCTCATCTCATCCTCAATTTTTCCTCAACCGAGATTTGTCAAAAGGAAGTATTTGGGATATCAATGTACGAAAGGCTTTAACTGCGAAAAGGTGAAAATACCACAACAATAGGTTAGCGCAATTCGTTAAAGCGATATTTGTCAGAAAAATGGCCAATATATTTTTTTGAAGGACAAGATACAATCAGAAAGATTGGCAACATTTCTACAACTGTTGTATAATTGTAGCTTGCAATAACAGCCTGCATTCGAAATAGTAATAAATATTTACCGCTAGTTAAGAGAATACTACTTGCAGTTTATTTCGACCACAAATTACTGCCTGATTTCATTAATTATTTGTTGAAATTTCCAACTACTTTCTTCGGTGAGACAGCTCAAACTCACTATTCAGTTTTCACCAATTGCGACTCGATGTGTCATTCGTGGCCATGTGGAGTAAAATGAGGAAAATTAGATGCGATTCACTTGCAGAGTCAATGTGTCCAAACTGGAAGAATGATTTTTTTTCAAATTTTGATAACTTTCTACTAAATCGTCCTCTTACAATATTGGAAACCTCGACAGCCAACTTAAACTACAAAATCGAGTACTACCAATTAAAAATAGTTTATTGAGTCGATTGCATGACATCAATTTTCGCGCAAGAAAGATTGAAAATCGATTTATCTACCCAATCTCAAATCTGATTCGTCGCTTTGGAGCTAACCAAGATGGATGAACTGAAAGGCATCAATACTCTTCTTCTTGCACTATGGGGTGTGCAATAGACTTACCCTCACGTGGTGCACCCTGTGCAAAGCATACTCATACGACAAAAGTCTATTAGCCGGCAGTTGAGTTCTCACTTCAAACTACCATGACTTGAATGTATGTCATATTCCACTACTTCCACAGTACCCACATTCCTCTTTCTTTTTCTGTACCTTTGTGTCGGTTTCTTTTACATCTTTGAAACACTCTTCTGTCCCTCTGCCTATTGACACTTTTTCACTTTGATGTTCCTTCCCCTCTGTAAAGCCTGAAGGCTTAATGATAACTATCAAAAAGCCTGTCATTTGAAATAAATAAATCTTCTTGCACTGCCCTCAAGCCCAGTTGCTTGGTTCGAGAACCTTCTTTATTCTTTAACTGCCAGTTGTTGTCAAACTCTTAAGGAAATTGTTTCTTAAACTTTCATTGACGTCAGTCGGTTTTCAACACGAAAAAGCCGTCACAGCTCCCTAATAATCACCAACTTTGGTTCTGGTCAACTCTCTCATTAAGAGACCAGTTACAAATAAAATATGTTGAATGCGCGTGTATTCTTTTCTAATTCTGTTGTTATAATGAAGATTAGTCGTAGAAGCGTGATGCATGATTGTTCGTAAGACCTTTTAAAATGTCATTTTGAAGGCATTGGGAATGAAGTTTGCATTTCCGGTGGTCTCCAATATTAGTTGCACTTCGCAACCGCCTTGTCCGTTAAAAGTTGCGGCTCTTAATCATCATTTTTGGAAGCAAAACGAGTACAAGCCCGCAAATTAAACGGAACACATAGAGATCGGCAGAGGGCTCTTGAAATTTCAGAACAGCACACTCCTTAAATATTCACATACACACACACACACACACACACACACACACATACATGCACGCACGCTCGCGAGGACACACATAGGTCCGATGCGAGATGCCCGCGGAAACTAATGTATCGGATTTTGGACTTGAAGGAAGAGAAGTGAAATGAATTCGTCTAGATGACTCATCTCTATTACGCAATTTCCGTGGAAGATTTTTCTATAAGTGCAAAATAATTCTGTTTTCAACGGCGACTCCTCAATTTATCTCACTCTTGGACACCTGAAAACATTTCGAAATTAAGAAAAAATCAGCATATTTACTAATATAAAAGACTAGCTCAAATAAACCCACAGCGAAGAAAATAAGCCATATCTAAGATGAATAAAGAAATATAAAAGTAAAAATGATATTCAGTGTATTACGGACACTTAAGAGGAATAAGAATAACGTTTAATTTAAATAAAATCAATTCAAATAATTTCCGGTGAAGGAAAACGAAATCCACCATTGAGTCGAGGTAGACAAAATAAACAAATATTTTTTTATTAAAAGGACCTACTTGATCATAGATACTGGGAGAGATAAGTAATAGCTTATGTTGGAGAATTCGCCATTTTATCGAGGCATCAACTCATCGGAAGTGTGGATAATAGGAAAGGCGAGGTTGCGTTTCCGTGATAATTAAACCGTTGAGAGAGAGAGAGAGAGAGAGAGATAACATCTTTCTTTTCACTTATTAGTGGTAAATAATATTTTTTGGGAATTTTCAACTCTATATTAGTAAAGATATTTGTTGAGACCCAAATTTAATTCTTCCCTACTACCGTACAGAAAGATGAAAGTCCACAGTAAGTACTAATAAGGCAGAAACTTACCTTAGAAGCTACGACTGTGGCTAGAATATTAAACAACAAATAGAACTTCCAAAAAGTGGAAGTGTTAAGGAATTGTGTTAGACAAAGTGGGTAAGGATGAAGATTCGAGAGAGTACGAGGGAGATGAAGGGGGGGGGGAGGAGAGAGGAAATGAGATTGAAGGGTAAAGAAGGAGCGAAGTGTGTCCATGCATGAGAGGAAGTAAGAAGACCGCTTATGAGTCACGTGAACTAGGACGAAAGCGTGGTTATGAGTTCAGGTGCACTTTTAGTGGACGCAAGTAGTAAATTAAAAGGAGAATCTACGAGCCCATCCGGACATGACAAATAGGGATTTGAGTCGAGGGACCTAGGGACGAAAAATCAATGTCTATTCATAAAAACCGTGAGTAGAAAGTTATTTTCGGAGTGTTCCTTCAACGGTATATGGACTGTTTTGGAAAAGATATTAAAAAAGCCTCTTATGCATAATCCAATGGAAAGAGTTAATTAAATGACCCCCCCCCCCCGATGAAATGTTTGAATCACTATGGGAGGAACTATTCGAGTAAAATTTTTGAAATGGTTGACTAATTGCCCAAATTACTGAACTGGTCAATTAGGTCTGAAAGCCTGAAAAAAGAATTCCTTTAGGAGACAGTGGAACATTTTTCGGAGGAATGAATATGAGTTGATAGAGACTAAATCCATGATTTTTGCGATGTTCCAACTATTATTCTCCTCCTTTAATCGATCTACTCCTCTCCACAAGAATTCCCACTGCGTTATGTTTCCCATTCAACATGCTTTCACCCAAAATATTTCCCAATAACAACCGCCCCCCCCCCAAAAATGCCTGCCTTACTTTGCGATGATTGGCTATTTGAAAAATCAATATAGTAATAAAAAGTGTTCGATTTTTTAAAAAAATTATTCAAAATTAAAAATAAATAAGCAAGCGTTTCAGAATTTTTTAATGGTTTCGATGAGACCGCAAACTTTGTAAATTTTTGTATTCCATCCCATTGGAAAGATTTTTGACATAAATCTCACAGTTATTGATTTTTTAATGTCGTTTACAAAATCAAGGTAAGAAAAGCATTTAGAAACATTATTTACCCGGTCATGTAGCCATGGGGACCAAGAGCAGGAGAATGAGATGCTACCATCGAGTGGCCACCACTACTACTTCCTGCACTAAGTCCAGGTCCGTTTCTGTGCTGTTGAATGGGAGTACAAGCTGTAACTGGCAATCCTTGGTGTCTTCCATGATGCACCGTTGGAGGTGATCTCATATGATGGGAAGAAAGAGAGGACGAGCCTGCAGAAGCTCCACCAACCCCAGACACTGACTGCTCTCCGGACGTGTGTCGAGGCTCTGGTGATAGATGGTACTGATGCGGCTGAAGAGCGTATGATGATGAAGGGTGATGAAGTTGACTCCCATCATGTGCGTAGTAACCAGAGAGGTAGCCTAATGCAAAAAAGCGAGGGATTTAGGTAAATCATCGTGGGATACTGTCTTTATTGGTCTCCAATAGCCATTATTACTATATGTCCCGCCAATTAACTGTTCAGGGTTGGAATTTATAACCGAACAAGCATTGATATTGAAGGTAAATTAGACTTTACGATAGGCCAACTGTTTTTACAGGTCAATAACCATGAGATGACATTGGTGAATACTGTGACTGATCAATATAAACATACCTGACCTGTTCGATAGTTAACTATGACAAAAAATGTATGAAAATAAGATAATCAAAAAGAAAAATTTCTAAATAATTCAAAGCTTTTTCGGTATTCCCGTTACCAATTTCTTCTTCTAGCAAAAGTACAATTTCTAAATTTAATGCTTTCCCAAGGTAAAATGATGTACTTTTTCCCCAAATTAAACCGTCAATTTAAGGCCTCAAATTTCCATATAAACACAAGTGTGTGGGTAAACAACCCCTTGGCTAAGTGCCACGATTTGGGGAAGTTAACAAAATAATACGCATTGTGCCATAAAGTCCCTGGAGGGGCTGGAAGAGGTGGGGGTCATGGTTAGTAGTCAATTTAATTAGTCAGCATTCACGTTAGAATGAGTAACAGGTGTTTCCCTCAATTCACCAGTAAAAGATAAGCCAACGTGTTAGCTTTAACTCCCAAGGCAAAGGTAAACCTGTCACAAGAAATACCCCTGTAAGATCATTCTCAGCTTGCTTCATAATTTTATCGCCACAGCCGAATACAACTGACCTGAATTTGTACGATAAGTTCAAATCACTCATTAGAGAGCTGTAATATTAAAGGCAGAATCTAAGGTGCATGTAGCGTGTATGCAAAGACTAGAGGTAAAGAAAGAGGGTACGATTTTGGGTGCCGATATTGAAGGAGACAAAATGCTTGTACCAGGGAAATAGTGAGGGGAGGTGTGGGGGGGGGGGTTAAGGGATGGAGTGTGGTGTGTGTCAAGTCGGTGGCGGTTGAAGCATCTATAAGGGAGTGAAAAAGGATTGATTGTACCTCTTTACCCGTTCTAGCCTGCTTTTTCTTTGCCTACACGGTTTTGGACACACGCAAGAAGAATCTGCGGTGGATTTGGAAAGAGATGCGTGAAAAAGTCATATGGATCGGCAGACTTTTCACTTCGAAAAAGGGGCAGTGGAGAGAGACAGAGATTTGAGCACGTATTGATGATTTTAGCACACACAATAGCTTGTTTTCTTTTTCGATTTAACTCAAGTTTGCTTGTGACACAGAGTGAAGTAACATTCAAAATTATATTTACTAGAACAATTTCAAGACTCTGAGCTCTATCAAAGCGATTTAAAAGCAAGAATTAGAAAATAATAAATCAAACATTTTTCAGCGCTTTTACAACATTACTAACTGAAACAAGAAGACTAGATATTTTAATAAAATATTTCATTAAACCAAGTTAACCAGAATTTGTAAAACCCATCCCTACTAGCATATTATCGAAATACTGGGAATATTGATTTTTAAAAACATTGTTCGTAGGTGTGGTAGGTAGAGAAGGCATAGCAATAAGATTCTTTGTTGGTAATAAAATAAATTTAACAAATCGAAATTCCCTTTTTTGTTGATCTCTACATGGAATATTTTTTTCATTAAAATTTCAGCTGAATGTGAATTGGAAATGTGGTTTAACGCAGCTTGTGTGTAACTAAAATGTTGGCGGAAATATCAATTTCAATATTCACGCGAATGGCATTTTGGGACTTGATGTGCAGCTTTTTTCCCTCCACTAACCCTTCAACGCTGACTTTTTTTATTACTTTTAATATAAATTTTGGATTGGTGTACACCAGTCTGCACACAGAAGTCTGTTAGAGCAATGATCTGGCAATGGTAAATATGGCATTCATGTGTCACAGACAATTCCAATCGAGGTGAAAGACTTATAAGGCAATTATAAAAGGTGTCGTCTATGGTTGCACAAGCCAAAAATGACTCGAAACAGCCGGAATCTGAAAGGTCACCCAACAACAAACACATGAACCTCCATATCAAAAGGAACTTCAACCAAGGCATAAAATGAGGACAGTGTAGGCTATTTCTGGAGGAGGGAAATGAGAAAAAAGACACTTCGAATTATCACTTTTTCACCAGACAAATGGAACCTCAGGACTGGAGAGTTAAACTAGCGATACTACTATAAATGCGATTAAAGTTAGATTTTTCCACTTCTCCTTTCCGTTGATTTCCAATGAGTTGTCATAGGAAGCCTGCATTCCGTTTCATTTAAAAAAATAATGAAAGGAATCAAAATAATTACTAGAGCCTAGGGATATTGGATATTTTGCTATTTTTACCTCTGTTCTGGCAATACTGTAAGCTATGGAATACCTTAACCATTGGTAAAAAAAAGTGAATTTAAGCCGAAAGACCCACCTCTTCTGACTAAAGTATGGCAGTTAATAAGCATCGGAATATCGGAGACAATCCAGACAACGCGAATTGTAAAGCTTTTACTTTGGAACGCGAATGGCCCATTTAGAAAGTATTGTACAAACCCTTGTAATTCGTTTGTTGTAAGATGCTTTCGCAACTAAAATGTGCATTTTTTGCATTGCTGCAGATACTAATGAAGCAATAGAATTGTCGCAATTCAAGCGGGGCAATGGGAGAATTCTGACTTAACTTTCTTCTGCAATTTTCTAATAAGGGATGTGCGATAGAATTACCTCCCCGTGGTGCACCCTGAGCAACATATACTCACACGGCAAAAAAGTCTATTAACTGGCAGTTGGCTTCTGACTTCAAACTACCGTGACCCCACTGTATGTCATATTCCACCACTTCCACAGTCCTCATCTTACCTTTTTTCTGCTTTCGTGCCTGTCTATCTGTCTCTTTTACATCTGTGAATCAGTCTTCTGTTCTCCACGCCACTCGACTTTTGGTGACTGTGATGTTCCTCCTAAGTTAGCTAAAGGGCTAATGATAACTTTAAAACGTCTGTCATTAGAAATAAATAACAAAATTAATTTTCTAATGTTGAACGCATAAGCCCATAGATTCCTTGACAATTTTTGGCTAATCAGAGGAGTTACACCAAAGTTCCTCCCAATTAA